CATCCATCCATCCATCCATCCATCCATCCATCCATCCATCCATCCATATATACTTATTGGATAATTTGCAATGCGGAATCTTTGCCAGACGTTAGCAAAGCCTTTCTTTCCCTGCTCAGTGCCCAGCCTTCACATCGCCGGGAATCCAAAACCTCCGGCTTTCGCCAGGGATCATGTCAGAGAGCCCTCTCTTCAATGCTCCAAATTCACACACCAATGCCTTCGCATCTTCCCCCTCCTTGGATTTCGAACATCGTATCTTCATCACTGATCTGACCAATCTTGTAACTGCAGCTATGGCTCTTGCAGCATGCTGCAGCTTCCACCATGACAGTTCCAGACCTCAAGCAGCTGTCCTCTTCATGTTCGTTTGGCTGCAATTCAAAATCATGAAGCATGGGTACTCACGGCACAGGAACCCTGTGTTTTTGTCATATGTTTTCTGTAAACTAGGCAACTAGATCTGTTGCAGGGACTGCTGCAGGCCAGCCCTTGGCTCATCTACTGCTCCCACAAGTTTGGTCCGCTGTGTTTTGGGAGTTCGCTGGCTTACTTCAAGTCCTATCAAGTCCGGTCGCATCGCTTGATGCCCAGAAACGGTGAAGGCCACATGAACACCGTCAAAGTCTCGTGGGCAGCCTTCAAGGCTGAAGCCTGCCATGCCATTCCAGGCCATGCCTGCGGTCAAGAAATCGGGTGATGGTTCGGTCATTGATGGATTTCTGATCAAGTCTGATTGGATGGAAGATATATTATATAATGAATCTGATCAAACCATTTCTTTGCGCTATATAAGGCTATATAGCTTCTTGTATCCGAGATGCCTCCGCCTGTTGCTGAAGACTTGTGAAGGATGCTGCTTTTCACTGCTCCAGAGGTCTGCGCAGAATCTGGTGCTTTGGCATCAGGAGTGGCGTCGTACATCTGAACCAACGTGCCCGGAGCTACATCACTATCAGATGATTGTACACGCCAAAGAGATGCGTGCTTCTCCACAAGCTTGAGGGTTCCTTTTCCATTCAAAGAGACTTCCACAAATTGTCCACTCATATCGAATTGCTTTAACCTTGCATCTTGCGGTTGTCCTCCCTCTACGTCCAGCGGGAACATCAAAGCCAGGCGCTCTGGCAAAGGTTTGCGCAATGCCAAACGACGCCTCAAATCCGTCTTGGTCATCGCCGAAGACTCCGTGACCAAATAGCTCTTCTCTGATACATAGTTCTCGGTCTGGCTGTGCATCTGACGGCTAATCTGGGTCTTCTTGTTCCTCGTGCGAGTCAGTGAACCTTCGGAACGATTGACTGGTTGGATGAAATTCCAGCAGCAACTGCCCAGGAAAAGCGATCCACAAAGTAAAGGCCACCATGTCCATTGCACGGTCCGCCGAACTGGATGATGCCTCATTGGCGCTGTTGGCTTTCAACCAAGGCTTTACTTGGGAGGAAATGCTCCGGCACTGCAACCAAAGCTTACCTCCATTGCCAATGTGGGTTGAGAACACAGCTCCATGTCTTTGCCATGTTGGACCAGCGCGGAGCAAGCTATTGTATGCAGGAAACGTGAAGATGTACGTGCGAGTGTTCAATTTGCATTGATTGAAAATAATGATGTTGGCTCCTCAAGGTTTTTGTTCTATTTCATTATGCTCATGCTGCAAAAAGCAGCCTGGCCTTTTTCGTTGCACTTAGAAGAAGACTTGGCAGTCTGTTGCGTTTACTTGGCAGTCCATGCACACACGCGCTTTGACCTTCCTTCGCTCGCACTTAAGTGGTATTCTTGAACGCTTTGTCTGCTTAATGTTCAGTCACGTGTCTTTGTTGTTGTTACCCAAAGGAATCAAAGCTTCAAGACCGCAAGTACACAGAGCTTAGAAGAAGTACTTGCCACATGAAGTCGCTGCCAAGCAAAAAAGAACTGGCAAAATCAACCAGTTCTATCTTTGCCCAGAGAGTGGCGCAAACAGGGTGCAAAGTGCAAAGCTGCCGATTCCCATTTGTGACCTATAATAGTAAGCAGTGATGTGCGAATCTGCGAATCTGCGTAATTGGTGCACTCTGTTTGTACTATACGTATAAGTATCACGTATCTGCTCTGGCTTTTGGAAGGATGCGGCTGTGTCTGGAGATACATTGTGTTGATTTCAGTCAATACAAAAAGGTCTCTTCTTCAAGCCTTGCTGGCCGATACCACTTGTGACACACTTCCAGTTGAGATGAAACCTCCTTAGTTCCACAATATTCAAAGGTGAATTCCAATAGCCTCCTCAATTTTACCTTTGCACCCACCTATGTAGGACGTTGGCCTCTTTCGACAGCGTGATCCTCAAGATTTCTGGTCGCTTCTTCGACTCCGCGACTTGAGATCGGTCGGACGATCCCTCGGACGAGAACCGCGGTTGCATCGCATTCCGCTCATCACTGGCGCACCTGATTTGATTCGCACCAGTTTGACGAATCTCATGCCAAGCATCGTGCATAGGAAGAAGACGTTGCATCGTGCAAAGCATTCATAGTGATGCATTGAATGAATTTCTATGAGCATCGCCATGAGCATCGCTACATGACAACTTTGGGAGTCTTAATCTCTTCATCTAATTTGTCTTGGGTCGCTTTTCTTTTGCCATCAGGAACTAGCTGTTATGCTGTCATTTTCACTGAGCTTCTTGTACCCGCTCTTGCCATAGGAGCAAGGGTGCGAACATTGAACGCAAGTCGAACGGGAGGTTCAACACATTGAATTTTGTATTCCTTTGGTTTGTGCTTGGTTAGTGAGTGTGACGTTGTTGTTAGGAGGCTTGTACTTGAGGTGGTCTGTGGATCAGGTCAAGGAGGTTCGTTCTGTTTTGCATGCCTTTTGCGGTAGGCGGAAGATTCGTACGGCGAATGACCTGGCCAGACCACTTCGTAGGTTTGACTAGAAAAGGACAAGTGCGCTTCGGCGCCAAGGACTGCTGCGGACCGCCCATCGCACCGGCCGTGGGCGCGCAGTGACCGCAAGTGAGAGTGTATTCCTTTGGTTTGTTCACATCGTTATTGCCGCTCGCTGATATTAAGAAAAGGTCTGAAATGTGATACTCTGCCGCAAAACAGGCATGACTGAGATTTGCAACACCGAAAAGCAAAAAGCAATACTAAGCAAGGCTGACAAACGGAGGGATGCGGAATCAATAGGGCCATCCAGTCTCGACTGCTGTTCTTTCCACTTGCGAAGTGCAAGCAAACAACAAACTCTTAGTTCAAAGATAGGCACCCAAAACATTACCGAACAACACTGACGAAAAATAACAACACCCCAAACCTAACCAGCCATTTCACCATGAAATGACCAGTGGCAGCGAAGTACGTCTGCACTTGAGCAGGTAAACGCCTCTGGCTGTACCACGAGTACTAAGTTGGAATATCAATGCATCACGAGGGGTGTCAAGTTTTTGGACTGAATCCTTGAGGGGGCGCAAAGGAGCTCAGGAGCGATTACATGTTGGAGTGCTTAACATCTATGCAAATGACTGTAAGGTCTTAACACAGCGTGGAGGCATGGAAGTCTGCTGCACAAAGTGTTATCTTCAAAGTGTAGGAAATTTGAAACAAACAGTTGTCTAATTCACCAGCACTTAGAGAATGAAGGAAAAGCAATACCTACAAAAGCAAAGAACGACATCTAAAATACACCAGAAGATTCCAATTGACTGCAATGTCTTGAGGCGTGCAGACTTTAACCATATGCTGCTCTCTGTCGAGATCGATGCCTACACCATTGGTCTGCCATCAGATTTTCAGCGAGGAACGCTATGAATGACTGAAACAACCATGGTGGATGTTCCAGGGGCCCAAGATACAACTTAAAGAGTTGCTCACCATTGGAGCTACTGATGGACACCATGCAACTGCATGTCGCGCGCGTATCACGCACTTCAAGGTCGCTTGTGCCCATGAAAAGCGAAGTCGGCAATGAAGAGGCCAAGAGCTTTGCAAGTTTGATCCAAGAGAACAAAAAAAGCATCCCTGCATGCTTCACACATCCTACACCAGGCCATGTGGGGTTCCCCATAATCACCAAAACTCTCACTGTCCGATCTATCAATACAAATTTGCAGCTCGGGCCCTGGGACCGGGACTGCTTTCAGCAGTGTCCCTGGTCACCACTCTGCGCCTTCTGGCGACAGCCTGGCTTCGGTGGCCTCAAGGCTTCAAAGGTTTGTGGCGCAGCGCGCGCCGTGGGTTTCTTTGTCCTCCAACTGATGTGATGCCCTGGGCAAGCGAAGAAGCGGTTCTGGTGGTGAAAGACGTCTTGAGCTGCTTGGGATGAAAGCCCATCGATTCTCTTGTATGTCAGTACCACCTGGTAAAAGGCCTTTCAATGATGATTTTGAGGCAGCAAACTGCGCCACAGTTTCAGAAATGAAGGAAGCCACTCAATTCATCAACAAATATCGTGGATCCCGCCCAGTCATCCATGTCCCACCTCTTAGAAGGCTGCAAGTGCGGTCTCAAACTTCAGGTCCCCCCATGTTGCTGCGGGAGCGGTGCGATGTCACCAGGTCATTGACCTCGGGAAACTCGAAAACTCAGACTCTACCAAAAATAACATATTCTTTTGAGTTACTACTAGCTATGTCCTCCAACCTACTAGCGATGGCCTCCAACCTGATGAGGCTCATGTTGTTTGGTGTTTGGAGATGTCAGTCGGAAATGTCCCAATGGATCGGACAAGGTTGCTACAATTGGGCGGGCCAAATACCTGGCAGTTACAGTTCCAAGTTGCTGCGGACATGTAGGGTCTCTCCGACTCCTGACAGACACGCATTCTGTTTTGACACATGTTCTTGATGTGAACCCATCGATATAGCCAAGCATTTTACCGAACCTATCACGGTAACCCCCAACTGGTCGTTGCAGCACGATTCTGGCTCAAATGGCCACGAAGCTGTCTAATCTTAAAGCCCTGAAAGAATGGCCTCCTGCAAAGAAACAACATCATCTGAAAATGATGTGTTTATCACACACAACTGTCTGTCAACTCCTTGGCCAGCTCATAGTTCGTGCGGAACACAGCCTAGGAGCGTTGGGATTGGCATATCAAGTCCTATCGTTTCGGCCAGTTGGCGTCAAATCAAACTGCCCTCTCGCTCGGCCAAGCTGCCTGGTGTTTTTGATGAATGTACCACATGAGGAAGCCTGACGGCCGGAAGAAGAGAGTTCCCAGCGTTGTTGCTTGTCCTCTCAACGGACTTTTTGGGATCTGAAGAAAAGTTCAGAGCTGCCATCAAGGCTATCGTTCTGTGGCTAGTGCTCAAAGGTGCAAGGAGGGCACAGAAGCAAAGAAACAATGCACCAGGTCATACTCACGACTTTCATTATGACGAGGCCCGAATGATGGCAGGCTTATGATCATCTAACAAACTGGAGCCACATGTCATGGATTCCTATGATAATCATTATAAAAAGCTACTAGTAACAAGTGCATCGCTTCTAGTAACAAGTGCCTTACTAGTAGTAACAAGAAGCTATTATATATATATATTATTTCTCCAGCAAACCATCATGTCGGAGTGTTTCGGAGCCAGCTTTCCCGGAGCTGAACGAGCCTCCAACGGAGTAGAACCTGGTACGCTTGACAACTGCCCAATTCTGTGCGGCTAATTGAGAAATGGGGCCCTTGACCATTGTTGAGATATATTATGCCTAGAAACAACTGGAAACCTCAAAACCATACATGGTACTACATGAGCTCAAATCCTCTATGACGTCATGGTCATCATGGTATCTGTCCTCGAATCTACAGCAAAAATATGCCACTCCGACCACTGCTTCACCAGCTTTCCACAAAGACCTACCAGTCCTTGCCAAGTCACAGACCCACATTCCAGGCCATGACATAAGCACAATATGGTTCCACCATATCGTCCTTGCGCTCAAAGTGCTATTGAAGGCAGAACTTATCCACTGAGAATTCGGTTGCTTTTGGTCTCTTTCTAGGATTCCACCTGGATTTCAGACATCAAAAACACCATTGTCACATATCAGGCAAGTTTATTCCAGCACGGACCCTAGATGATTACCAGAATTCAACGGCAGCGTTGACAGCGACCCCCGCTGGGCGAGCAACCTGTTACAAAAGCGCACTCTTTGTTGGTGAGGATGTGGTTGTGGTTGCTGTTGTTCTGGCTTTAGCTGTTGCTTTTGCCGTCATTATTCTTGTGTTGCTTGTTGTCGTTGGAATATGCAACGACTGTGACCCGTTGTCAGCACAGTAAGTTTGCAGGCTCGAAGTCTGATGTGTTTCCTTTAAGATGTTAGTTGCAGTTTTGGAAAGACTGGTTGGCAAGATCACAGCTTTCCTGTAGTCCTTAGTCGTGGGGGTGTCAAAACAACCTACGGGGTCACAGTCAGAGTCTTCCTACTGGGTCGACTGCAGCCCCTTGTGTTTTGACACACGGTTGATTCATGAATTCAGGGGTTTTGCAGAAGTTGTTGAAAAAATATAACATTCCAACATGCACTCCATGACAATGCTGTGACACCAACAACAACAACCTTGTGAAACTGATGCCTGTGATACCCCCCGCCCCAACCCACCCCGATGTTTATAATCACAGGGTCATTTGACGACAACCTTTGTGAAACTGTTGACAATGTCATTAATTCGATTGAACGATGTTTTAAGACCGATGACACCGTCGTGAAAAAAAAATGACAATGTGACAATGCTGCAATAGTTAGTTGGTGTTTTTGGAAGCCCAAGTGTTGATTTCCGTGCCTTTTTGAAGAAGCAACTACTATGACCCCGTAGGTTGTTTTGACCCCCTACTAACAACTAGAGAAGCGCTGCGATCTTGCCAACCAGTCTTCCCAAAACTGCAACTAACATCTTAAAGGAAACACCTCCGACTTCGAGCCTCAAAAACTTGCAAACTTACTGTGCTGGTAACGGTTCACAGTTGTTTCCTCTTCTTTGTTCTAGTTGTTGTTTTTGTTCCTGTTGTTGTTCTTCTGCTTCTTGTTGTTGGTGGTGGGACGCCCTTTAAGAGGCCATGAGCGTCCAAGCGCAGGCTTCCCAGGCATCCCAGGCATCCCAGCGGTACATCACAAACCCACTCTCTTCATCTACATCATCTCATGGTGCTTCATCAACATCATTGGCTTCATTTCATCGGGGGCCATGAAGTTGGTTATACCTGCAACAACAACATGGTCATCGTTGGCACAAGTCATCGTTGGCACAAGATTGTGATCGTTTCCACCACACTGTCGCCGTTTAAAATTAAACATTGTCATCGTTCTTACAACAATGCCACCGTTATCACAACGTGGTCGGAGCCTCAACGATGTCATCCAAGAGTCACCACGAGGTTCAAACTGGCAAGGCTTCGAGCAGGCTTTCACTCCTCCTTGCATGTTGTATGGTTAAGGCAAGGCCTTCTGGCTTTTGGCCAGATCCCAGACATATGGTCCAGAGACGCAATGATTGTAGATATGTGAGGCGTGTCTGCGGCTTGCCTCTCCTTGACAAAGAAAGTGGTGCATTTGCGAGGACTTGCTCATATCCATTGCTATGTTTAAGCTAAACGAGCTAAGAGAGAAGCGTGCTACATACGCTGCTTGTGAGATGAGTATACTCATGTTACATGTAAGTACAAGTATCTTCACTTGTGGTTGTCAGGCCTTTAATTAAGTGCAGGCAGCAGTGAAACTGAAACAAATGCAACTGGAAGGGGCACGAAGGCTGGTCATCCGATTGCAACATCTTCTGGGTTGCAAAAGCAACCAACCTTCTTTTAACCCTTCACATGAAAACGGACACCCCACTGTAGTGAGATCACAACTTTTCCCAAGAATCTCGTTAGGGGGTAGAAGAGATCGGCAAAAGCATGATCTGGTCCAGTGATGCGTCTGCAGCTGCAGCTTTGTGCCTCTGACTCTTCATCCAAAAAACTCCCGGCCTCTTAAAAAGCATGCCACCTTGATGTTGCTGTTATTGTGGTGGTGCTGCTGCCGTTATTGTTATTGCTGCTTGTTTTCCTCTCCTTTACTCTTCTTCTTCTGTCTCCTCGTCTTCCTCTTCCTCTTCCTCTTCCTCTTCCTCT